GGGTATTTAAATCAATTTCCCCTTTTTTCCATTGAATTGTATAATAATCCAAATAAATAATATGAAGTGTGTTAAAGTCCCACATACACTAGTAAAATATGAAGTAATAAACTTATGTATTATGATCTTGAGTTACTCCTCTTAACAAGTTGAAATTTTAGAATAAAACTTCATGTTTTAAAAGATTATAAGTTTGGAATAACTTTTTAGCTAAATTTGCCGAACGTGATTGTTTTAGCTATTTTCGTATAAATTTTACTTTATAATTTTTTGGGTTGTTTTTAATTTTTTTTATTTTTTATTTGGATTTATTTTCTGCTTTAAATTATTAATAAAAAATATGTATCTCAAATCCATAATTAAAATTTTCACGATTCATAATTGAAAAATCAATAGAATTAAAAGAAAACAATTAAATGTCATTTACTTTAAATAAAAAATTTACTGTGTATAACTTAGAAGAATCATTGAACTCATGTATTTCATGTAGATTTAACTAGACTCCCAAGGAGAAGGTAACATGTTCGAAACTCATCTCAATCATGAATGTTGACATTCATGTAATCTCCATGTTTAAATTTGTGTTTTTAATTAGTTTAGAGTGATTGTTACTTTGGAAATTACACACTTTTGGTGTAATAGTTTAGTTTGTAAAATATTTGTAATATGTTTAGATTAGGCTTATTCTGAGCTCAAACAGGTCCAAGAACACTTTGGGGACCATTGGTGAACACCACAAGTGGAAGGAAAGTGCAAAAATGCAAGACAAAAAGTGAAGATTTCGTTTTTTGGTCTGTACCCGGTCGGGTATGACCTATACCCGGTCGGGTACTCTTCTAAAAAATCAAATCGGATCAAATCCGGGAACAAGGCATCATGTGGGAAGATTTTTAACCACGTTCGGGTGTCATACCCGATCGGGTGACCGACAGACCCGATCGGGTATGCCCTAATTTCCTGGCTTCCGGGAAGCTCTCTAAGTACCCGATCGGGTACCCTTGAAGCCCGATCGGGTACACAGCCCTGCAGCCCCCAAAAGCCTATAAATACACCCCATTTCCTTCACAAAAAAAAAAGCACCAATTCCTTTATACTCTTAAGCTCAGTTTAGAATAACATTTCTTTATATTTCTTTTAGCAAGTTTAGTCTCCAAATGAGGAGCTAAACTCTAATTTCTTGGTATTGCTCTTGAAGCTTGTTGATTATTAAAGTTGTGAGTTATTTTCTTAACTTCTTTCCTTGAATATTAATTCTTTCTTTAAATACTATTTCTATATCAATGTTGGAGAGTGTTACTAAGATGACAATTAGTTAACATCTTGACATCTATTATCTATTATAATATAATAGCAAATTGATTTTGCTACAGTATTCCCGCCTAAATGCACTGCAAGTTCACTGCTATGCCCTATGGAGCAATGCACTGGATTGTTTTTCATTTAATGCGCAACAAGTACGTTCCGTATAAGCCCAATTGAATAGCCTTTTCAATTAAATTATTGAGTTTTTGGATAAATTAAGACCGATTGAAATTCCGTTATCAATTTCCCAATGCAGTTTCCATCGTAATACGCAATTTAGATAACAAAAAATGAACCACTTGCTTTACATGTCTGGCGTGCGTCATCAATCTTGAAAGCCTTGGAAATATGTAGAATTAATTATCTTTTGGAAGGCCAAAAGCCCTCTCCACATCAGAATGGTATAAATACATGTTGCCGCTATGTGATAAATCCAACCAGAAAAATGCGTGATGAAATTCCAGTCTTCATGGATAATGGCTTAATGTTTTGTTTTGAAAACTCCATGCATTCCCGTTTATAGAGCTTCGCAGGGTCTTCGATCAATCCACATCTCAGTTCTACAGCACCATTCTGATTACCTTTTTTTTATTACCTTGATTACATGATTTAATTATTTCAATAAAATGCATCTTATGACAATAAGGTATCAAATTTAACTACAAGGTGGGTGTTAAAATCTGATTTCCAACCTCTAGAAAAGAATAGGGATTGAACAAAAACAATTTGCTCGATATAAAATCTACAAAATAGTCGTTGTAGTATTATAAATGCTAGAATAATTATTTCATGAGATTACGAAGTTTTATAAAATTTGTAAAACTAATGCTTGATTTTGTTAGTTATTGCTTACAAGTAGTTCAATTTAGTTGTTCTCTTTTTAATTACAATTAAAAAAAAATTGTTACCTATTTTTAACTTGAATAATTTGTATGGAATTCGTCTGCCGTGCATCGCACGGGTGAGCTACTAGTTGGTCTTAGTAATAGCTATTCCTTCCTCTATGTTAATATTGGGGAGTGTTACTAAGATGACAATTAGTTAACATCTTGATATTAACTATAGTAGGATTCATTTTCTTTAATATTCTTCCTTGAGTATTAGTTAATTCCTATTCATATTTTATATTAATATTTTGAACATTACTTAAAGGATCAACTAGTTTTGTTTCATACGAAATATATTAATTATTACTAGAAACGATCAACGAATCGATGGTTAATCGTTGATAGTTTCACAAGTAAGTAACTTCGGTTTATTAATGCACGGTCGTGGTTAATAAATTTAAGAGGGATTAATTTTGTTGGTTAAACCAAAACCGTTGTGTTGAAGTTATCAATCTCAATTGATTTCATCAAGGAGTTAAAAGATTAAATGCTACTACCAAGTCGGTATATGGCGTTGTTCTATACTTGACTAATAGTAAGGGTTATTGAAAAAAATCCACTTTTGGTCCCATGACTATTATACCACTTCCACATTTAGTCCCTTACTTTTAGATTGTCCACATTTAGTCCGTGACCATTATCCCCTCACCACCCCTCGTCCTTCCAGCCAAAATCCCGGCAAATTTAGTCCACTTCTCAACCTCAGAATCAGTCTTTGCATTAAATTTTGTATCAGGTTGGGTTTTTCATACCAGTCTTTGCATTAAATTTGGTTTTTCATACCTAAAATCTGCATTAAATTTGCCGGAATTTTGGCCGGAAGGACGAGGGGTGGTGAGGGGATAATGGTCACGGACTAAATGTGGACAATCTGAAAGTAAGGGACTAAATGTGGAAGTGGTATAATAGTCATTGGACCAAAAGTGGAATTTTTTCAAGGGTTATTAATGAACGGTCTTTGTTAATAACTATCCTCGATGAATTGGATATACTCCTCGATTGAGTATTCGAGAGGAAATAAGTTATAGATATAACAATGATCGACTAAAATATATCAACAAGTGGAAAGTAGCAATGCCAAGTCTTTTTTTTATCTTTGAATTAAATCACATATAACTCATTCATCTTCGTGTTTAAATTTAATAAAATCACTAAATCCCAAAGCCCCCCTTATTTACTAGTTCTATAAAAGATAATTATTCCTTTCCATGTGGATACGAACTTTACTACGCTATACTACGTATAAGTGTTGTATTGTATTATTATTTTGAGTGCACACCACGACAAAGTGCACGTCAAATGTTGTCATTTAGCAGAACAGATATGTTAAAAAGGTAGTTTCTATGATACCCATAAGGTACCATACCTTTGTCCACATGGACCAATGAAAAGGTAGTAGTTGAATTAATTAAATCTAAATTAAAATTGATAAAGTGATGTGGTCCAATCAAATGAATGCTAGGTACGGTACCCTGTTTTTAGAAAGGTACCAGAGTTGTCACCATTTAAAAAATAGAGAAAGTGCAGCAAAAAAAACTAGACTTTTTAACGTTTACAAAAAAAACTAGACTTTTTAACAAGACTTTTTAATGCTCGGTAATCCGTATATGAAACGGATTAAACTTTGGGGTGTTATCATCATCATAAAAAAACAGGAAAAAGGTGATATCCCCAATAAACGCAGCAGATTCGGGGACGGGACGGATGTGAAACGATGAAAAATATTTGATCCGCGCAGTAATGATATGAGTAGCCCCCAGTCATAGAAAAAAACGACCAACCAACTCTTTGACCATTATATATCCACAGTCGATCTATGAAAGAGGTTAAAACATTACGGAGTATTATTCTTAGAATTAGAATTGATCAAGAATAGCAGCATGAAACAGCATTCCTGGAACATGCACATTTTATGCGCATTCATAGCCTTTTCATTCTTGTTCTCTGGCTCTTCTACCAGCGCCTTCACTCAAGAACACTACGCCGAAGCCCTCGGGAAATCCATCTTGTTCTTCGAGGGGCAGCGGTCAGGGCTCTTGCCCCCAACTCAACGTACTGATTGGAGGGGGTACTCCGGCTTGAATGATGGGAAAAGCGTCGGAGTAATGTTATTACTTTCATATCTCGACTATGCTATTGAGGGTTTTAAATTGCGGTTGCGGTTCCAACAATGTGTATTTAGTGGTGTGAATTGGTTTTTCATTCGAGCGAATTATGAGAAAATTAAATTAGTTTTGCGGGCCCGGTGCTGTTATGTTGTGGATTTTTCTGCTGAATCCGAATCTCACCCCATTGCATCCTGATGCAATTGCGGTGTTGCTGGCAATCGCAATATTGCGGCCGCATGCAACTTAAAACCCTGATGCTACCTAGCTTATCTACGTATATTGTATTGTGGTAAATTCAAAAATGTACGTAGTATGTGCTTAATATGTTGTTGTCGTGCCTGCAGGTTGATCTTGTAGGAGGATACTATGACGCGGGCGATAACATTAAGTTTGGTCTGCCAATGGCATTCACAATCACACTTCTATCTTGGGGCGTTATTGAGTTTGGAGAAGCGATGGGAAATGAAATAGAGCATGCCAAAGAGGCAATCGGATGGGGCACGGACTATTTGTTGAAAGCATCGGCACACATAGATAGCAAAGTTCTATATGTCCAAGTGAGCCCCCAACAAAAGAAGCTTATAAGGGATAGGATATTTTAAAAATCTAAAACTTTATACGAAAAATTATTAACTATCGTTAACAATTGCCAATGTACTTTGTAACTCCTATATAATTTCAATCACACAGTTTTTGTATACGTCAGGTAGGTAATCCTATCGATGAACACCCGTGTTGGGAGCGGCCAGAGGACTTGGACCAAGGAAAGCCTCGACCGGTGTACAGTGTTACTGATACAAAGCCGGGGTCTGAGGTGGCAGGTGAGACGGCTGCCGCACTGGCGGCTGCTTCCATCGTCTTCAAAGACTCCAAACCTGGTTATTCAAAGACCTTGCTCGAAAGGGCAAAAGTTGTACGTTACCTTAGCCCATCCATCTTAGCTTCTCAATTGTTCATCGACTCTCTTTGTCACATCGAAAATTAATTATGCGCCCTATCTCATTAGTAAAATGATTAAACTCTAGCTTCTACAAGTATAACTGCAGGTGTTTGAGTTTGCTCAGAATAATCAGGGTTCTTATAGCCAATCCCTGGGTGATGTGGTCAGCAAATTTTACAATTCAGTCTCGGGATACAAAGTAAGACGCAAAATCAGCTTCTTCAATTCAATTCCGTCCACTAATTAATAGCCGTCCCAAGCAGCCAATTAAAGTGGTTTCCGGTCAAATTTTTAGATGAAACTTTGTGAACATGTTTTTTATAAAGTTTAGATTATGTACACAAAATTTAAATTTAAAACTTGATGGGAAGTTAGTTGAGTAAACTATTGAAAAATACTGCATCAATATATATAAACAGTGTTTTTCAATAATTTATTTAACTGACTTTTTGATTGAACTTTGAGGTTAAATATTGTCGACATAATCTAAACTCAATGAAGAAAAATGCTCACAAAATTTCATAAAAAATCTTAACCGGAAACAACTTTACTCCAAATGGCGGCGGCCGGACGACCTTTCAGTGTTAGATAAAATTCCAAGATCAGCATCATATAATTATACATAAACATATACTGATAGATCTGAGATTTAGGAATACCTGGATCCATGATAGATGAATAAACTGGAATAAATCTCTTATCCCCTTTGTCCTCTTTCCTTATGAGATTCTTGATAGGTAGAGATCTGTCACTAATATTGTGTTGTTATTCCATAGGAAATAAGCGTATATATAGAGGCAGAGGGGAGGATTGGGGAACCCTAGTCCTAGACAGATATAAACATAGTTTCAGCCTATCATTAAACCAATTAAATGTCTAGGACTATACGAACTCTATTAATAACATATAACCCCAAATACATGACCAATATTAGAATATTAATAATTAAATAGATATTCTTACATTCTCCCACTTGGTCATGTGATCCTTGATGAATTGATGAAAACTTAAATTGCGCAATATTCATCAAACCAAACTCACCAAGAAAACTTAACTGAAATTCAAATTGAATGGATCATGGCGGTTACACATCATTTATACTGACATGCTTCCTTCCATGTATCACAAGACAATTCTAATTCATCCGAAACATTTGAGAAATCTGAAAGTCTCAAATCTTAAATTTGAGGGATGCTTAAATCCTCAACACTCGTTATCACCACAAATAATTATATGGGATCACAATCAAAATAGATAACAAGTAAACCAGAAACATAACCTTTATTGAATTCAAATGAGTGTCTAAACAATGATATATAAAAATGAGCTAACATAAATCACTGAAAAAATTATCATAGCAAGGCTTTATCAACAACACCCATATTAATTACATGATTATTAAAAATCTTAGGTGACAATCCTTTAGTCAGCGGATCCGCAACCATTTGTTCAGTGCCAATATGCTCAATAAACACTCTATGTTTCTGAACTTCTTCCCTAACTAACAAGTACTTCAAATCTATGTGTTTAGCACCTTTAGTGTCTTATCATTCTTTATGAAGAAGACTGCTGCAGAATTAAATTTTCACCGACTTAGCTATAATGTCGACTAGTCTAAGTCCTGAAACAAAGCTCCGCAACCACAAACCATGAACAGTGACCTCAAAGCATGCCACGAATTCAGCCTCCATGGTGGAAGTAGCAATAACTATTTGTTTACCGCTCTTCCAAGATACTGCTCCTTCAGCCAATATGAACAGATAACCAGATGTTGACTTTCTACTATCGACACATCCAGCAAAGTCTGAATCTGAATATCCAATCACCTCAAGCTGACCGGATCTCCTAAATGTAAGCATGTGATCTTTGGTGCCTTGCAAGTACCTCAAAACTTTCTTTGCAGCTTTCTAGTGGTCCATTCCGGGATTACTTTGATATCGTCCCAGCATTCCAACGGCAAAACTAATATCGGGACGAGTACAAGTCTGAACATATCCCAAACATCCGACCACTGACGCATAGGGAATTCTTTCCATCTTCTTACGTTCCAATTCATTTTTAGGACATTGTAATAAACTGAACTTGTCCCCCTTCTGAATTGGAACCACACCTGGAGAGCATTTGTCCATATTAAATCTTTCTAAGATGTGATTGATGTAGCTCTTCTGAGACATACCCAAAATTCCTTGTGAACGGTTTAGAAATATTTCAATTCCAATCACATAGGATGCCTCGCCCATATCTTTCATCTCAAAGTTCTTAGAAAGGAACTTCTTAACATCATGCATCATGGACATATCATTCGTAGCAAGCAAGATATCATCAACATATAGGACTAAAATTACAAATCTGCTCCCACTGACCTTCATATAGATGCACCGATCAACGGAATTCTCTATAAAACCATAAGAACAAATGGTATTATGAAACTTAAGATACCATTGTCGGGAAGCTTGTTTTAGTCCATATATTGACTTTCGTAGCTTACACACAAGATTTTCCTTACCAGTGGTCAAAAATCCTTCTGGTTGATCCATATACACTTCTTCCTCTAAGTCTCCATTCAGAAAGGCGGTTTTGACATCCATTTGGTGAAGCTCCAAATCAAAATGAGCCACCAAAGCCATGACAACCCTCAAGGAGTCCTTCTTTGAAACTGGAGAGAAGGTCTCCTTGTAATCAATGCCACGTTTCTGAGTAAATCCCTTAGCAACAAGTCTGGCCTTATATCTTTTGATGTTTCCATTAGAGTCACGTTTGGTCTTAAAGACCCACTTACATCCAACTCTTTTGGATCCATCAGGCAACATAACTAAATCCCAAACTTTATTGTCATACATGGATTTAAGCTCTTCATTCATGGCATCAATCCACTTATCTGAGTTTATACTATCCATGGCTTCCTTAAATGAGATTGGATCCTCACCAATGCTCAAGTCACACTCATGTTCAACAGAATATAGTAAGTAGTCATCTGGAATAGCAGATCGTTTTTCCCTAGATGTCTTTCTTAACGCTATTTCTTCTGACGAATTATCATTTTCTTAAGTGATGACATGTTCCTTTGAAGTGGTCACAACATGCTCATTAGTATCTTGTTCACCAGCTACACCTTCATTCTGATCATTAGTGATTGCGTCACTAACTATATACTCAGGTCGTTCGTTGGTGTTTGAGATACTATTGATGCGTCCGACATGTGGGAACATGGCATTACCTTTTTGTTCTTGAATGACCACATTTCGTGGTTCACCACTCCCACTAACTTGACCGTTTTCAATGAACCGAGCATTGCCTGTCTATACAATTCTCGTACTATGATTAGGGCAATAAAACCTAAATCCCTTCGACTTTTCAGGATAGCCAATGAAAAATCCACTAACTGTCCTCAGATCAAGTTTCCTTTCATGCGGATTGTATACTCTTACTTCTGCAGGACACTCCCAAATATGGAGATGTCTGAAACTAGGTTTCCTACCTGTCCACAGTTCATAAGGGGTCTTAGGAACTGCCTTACTAGGAACCCAGTTTAACATATATGCAGCAGTCCTTAATGCATACATCCACAACGAAGGGGGTAAGGTAGAATAACTTAACATGCTCCTAGCCATTTCAATTAACATACGATTCCGCCTCTCAGCTACACCATTTTGTTGTGGTGTACACGGCATTGTGTATTGAGCACAAATGCCTCGACTTTCAAGGAATTTAGCGAATGGACCCGGACATTGTCCATATTCATGGATTTCCCATAATACTCACCACCTCTATCAGACCTCACAACCTTAACTTTCTTCTCTAGTTTCCTTTCCACCTCGTTGACAAACACCGCTAGGATGTCTGCCGACTGGGCCTTATCATGCAGCAGATAAATGTAACCATAACGTGAGTAGTCATCTATAAAGGTGATAAAGTACTTTTCTCCACCCCAAGAAGGAACATCAAAAGGACCACAAATATCAGTGTGTATAAGCTCTAACAATTGAGTGCTTCTTGTGGACGTCTTCTTTACTGTGTGTTTGGTTTGCTTTTCTTTAATGCAATCAACACACACATCCCAGTCACTAAAATCCAATTGAGGTAAAATTTCATTCTTAACTAACCTCATTAGCCTATCCTTGGAAATATGACCGAGACGTTGGTGCCATAAGAAAGCTGAGTCCTCATCTAGTGCACTACGCTTAACTCCTACATTATTTTCAACATTAAATAGAGATTCAGTAAATTTCAAATCAAGATTAAAACGATACAGGGAATCAACCAACATACCAGATCCATAAATAAAATTATCCTTAAATAATGAAAATGTATTGTTCCCAAACTTGATATGAAATCCTGAAACATCCAACCTACTAACTGAAACAAGATTTCTAGCACAATCAGGCACATAAAGACAATTATCTAGATCTAAAGGACATCCAGTGTCTAAGATCAACCTATACGGCCCTATGCCTTCAATGCGTGCTTTCATCCTATTCCCTATAAATAGAAATTGTTCATTTCCTCTTATTGGTTGGATGGACTTAAATCCCTTCATAATGTGAGAAACATGAGTAGAAGCACCCGAATCTAACCACCAAGTGTTATTAGGAGCTATGAGATTTGATTCGAAACACACGAAACCTAAATGTGTATCAATCTTGCTTGATTTGATACATAACATGAATTCCCTAATTAAATCGTTCGTGGACGATAAGAGATTTAACAAAGCTGCAACAATATACATGCTTACTATTAATGCTTTGAATTAACTAATACAGATTCATTCTTAGAAAACCTAAACATATATGCTTAAATTCACCTTTGGGTGATCCTTAAATATATACATAAAATGATGCCAAATAATATATGAAAATAGACAATTAATTACACATGACTAAATGAGTGTTGTCTTTGGACATTAACCCAATTTAATCCAAGTATAAAAATTAGTCTCTTACATTGCAAAAATTATACATGCATGATCCACCTTTTGGTGATCTTATAGCAATATAATCTTAATGCATTATTTTTATATTATTTAGTATCTTAAAATTATAAAAAAAACGATTTTACCTTTCAGAATTATTTGTCTAATAACTCTCGGCCAGGCCACTTTGGTGACTAACAAGCATTATATTTATAGACAATAAATCAAATCGATTGTAGAAGTGTAATTACATAAAATTTAATTATTTACTAACCGTATGAGTCAGGCCACTTTGGTGACTAACAAACTCCTTATATGTAAATAATTAAATTTAAATATCCATCTACTAAAATCATGACTAATTCTCTCAATTAAAATTTCTAAGTTAACCATTAAATCACTTTGGTGATTAACAACTTATCATAACATTAGAAATTTTAAATGATTGAATATAGTCATATATTAAATTTTACTCAATTAAATTGCTTAAATTGATTTAGTACGATCGCGTTGGCAACTAACAAGCATTACATTTATGGACATAAATCAAATACAATCATAAAAATTTAATTATTTAACTCTCATATGAGTCAGGCCACTTTGGTGACTAACAGACTCCTTATAAGTAAATAATTAAATTTACATGTTCACCAAACATAGATTAATTAATCAAACGGATCATAAAAATTTAATTAATTGACTATCACACGAGTCAGGCCACTTTGGTGACTAACAAACTCCTTATACGCAAATAATTAAACTCAAATGTTCATTAAACGTAGATTAATTATGATCAGTTTGATCTACTCAATCAAAATGAGTACATAAATTTGAACAAAATGATCTAAATAAACTAGTCAGGCTACCAAAATATTTAAACAATTAATTGAGTAAATAATAACAGGTGACAAAACTGATATCACATCAAATTTTATTAGTGCATAAAAGTCCCTAATAAATTTCTTGAACTATAACAAATGCGGAAGCTGTAGGTCCAGAAATTGAAGTCTTGAAATTTGACGTAATTTAACATTAAATTCAATAGTAAATTTACGTCAATAAAATTAAATAAAAAGAAAGTAAATTCAATTACTCCAGTAAATAGAATGGATCAAAACAAACTGGGAGACTCAAATATTGAATTACGCTCTTTCACTTAAATCATCTGGACAGTCCAAGCGTAAGGGAAAACATAAATTCTTAGGGATTTGCCGTCATAGACAAAACACATCAAAATTCCCAAGTTTGATGCAATGCCTCAAATAATTATAAACCAAGACTAAATTTAATCTAGGAAAAAAAACAGGCTTCTAGATCGTACGAAACCGGCTGAACGAACATAACAATCCTCATCTATAAACTCAAGCCGGTATTAACGGATCGGCAAAAATTAAAGGTACTTTGACAACAGATAATGGATGACGCTTAGATTTAACAAAAATCAAATTCATCCTAATTAAAGTTCAACATACAAATGGCACAAAAGAATAGAGTGCTAATTAAATGCAATTTTTCTTTTGGCAAAACACCGTCATTAACGAAAATTTTGATCTGTCAGATCATACGAATGGAAGATGATTGAGATTTGAGACGGCGTATGTCATACGTATACCGAATGTTACCTATAATTTATGATGTCAAATTGGACTTGGCTCTGATATCAATTGTTAGATTAAATTCCAAGATCGGCATCATATAATTATACATAAACATATACTGATAGATCTGAGATTTAGGAATACCTGGATCCATGATAGATGAATGAACTGGAATAAATCCCTTATCCCCTTTGTCCTCTTTCCTTATGAGATTCTTGATAGGTAGAGATCTCTCACTAATATTGTGTTGTTATTCCATAGGAAATAAGCGTATATATAGAGGCAGAGGTGAGGGTTGGGGAACCCTAGTCCTAGACAGACTTAAACATAGGTTCAGCCTATCATTAAACCAATTAAATGTCTAGGACTATACGAACTCTATTAATAACATATAAGTCCAAATACATGACCGTATATTAATAACTAAATAGATATTCTAACATTCAGGTCAAGAATTCTTGAGGGATCACTTTTCCATATATGTGTGTGTTATTTGATACTTCAATTATGTATTCTTCGTATTTTAGTCTTTTAAAAAGAAAGAATATATACGGAGTATGCTAGTCCGCCCCTTTGGCTAATGGAAATTTATTAAATTTAACTTTCTTGATCATTAATGTGAGTCTTTTCCCACTTGACACATCCCTGCGAGGCTTTTGCATCGATTGTTCCTGGGAAATTAGTTCTTTACCTGCTAAATAGCGTAATTAGACATTTTTATTAGAACTTCAAGGTTTAATTTGAGTGTTTTCAAAGTACGGTGTTCTAAAAAACTTGTTTAGGACACCTACCCGGCTGGTTGTCTATAGATCTTGATCGGGCCTAAAATCATCAGTCCTGTCGATAACAAAAAAGAATAGTCGAAAAAAACGATCAGACCTTGGTGTGTATCATACTAGGGGTGGGCATGGTCCGGATTGGTCCGGATAATTGATAATTTTCAAGAACTGCCGCTTCCATTTAACAGGTAGGTTCGGTTCTAGTATACCAAGTTGCGACATAGGAATCGAACCTTATCCGCCCCGTTTGAAATGGGCCGGTTCAGTTCCGAGTCCTCGGTTCTTTTTTGTAAAAAAAATATGACTATGCAAGCAAATTATCTAGTAAGTTATAAAATTCTCAAACTAATTAAGTATTAATGTAAACATGATATAGTAAAAATTCAAAATAAAAGTATAAAACAACATCTTAAATTAGTTAACAAACTATCAAACTACAAATCTATAAATTAAACAGCACAAAACAACCTAAATTAAAACATTAATCATCATTCATAAACTAAAAAGGTAACACTATAAAGTCATAAGCAATTAAACTAGTTTCTATACAAACAATTTAAAGCTTATTAAATACTACGTATCAAAGTACAAGTAAAATTAAATTAATTAAATGATTGTGCCACACTTCATTGAGTAAGAGTCTTTGTTTACAAAAGCTATTAAAGAAAATAAGTTTGATGCATTTGGAATAAAGAATTGAGGACAATAATTTAGGAGTTTAATTATACGGACTTTGAAACTATTTTAAATAGATTGACAAGTTTCTTTAATTAAAAATCTTTGTCTAGACACAAGAACATGAAAAACTTCCGTGTGTTGTTAGTATATTATACTCCTTCGTTCTCTAATACATGTCCCTCTTTCCGTTTTGGGATGTTCTCCAATACATGTCTCTCTTTCCCTTTTTAGAAAGTGTTTTCAATAAATATACTTATATGCCCTCATTCTCTTTCCTGCTTTTTCATTCTCTTTCCTACTTTTTCCTTTATACACAACCCACTACACCTTTTATCTTACCTATATTAATTATTTCTTAAAACTTGTGCCAAAGTCTATACTCCCATCTATTAGAGAACGGAAGGAGTATTAAATATAATAGAGTTTATTACAATAATATTTTAAAACAGTTTGGTCTGGGTACCTGATTTTTTCAAATTTAAGACCTTCGGTTCCAAAACGGTTCAAGACCCGCCCACCCCGAACCGTTTGGGTTTTCTAAAATTAGGACCTAACTCTAACCTCCCCCAAACCTCTATTACCCGGCCCGACCCACGATTCTGGCACCCGTTTGTCCATCCCTTGGTAAAACCCGAGTGACCCATAAAAATAGCTTGAAATGGACTTTTTCTTTTTTGGGTTTATTTTTTTCTTTAAGTATATGTAGAAGAATAAAATATCTAGCCTCACTTCATAAAGAGATTATGTTATATCAATAAAAAAACAAGGTAGATTCTATGGTACACAAAGAGTACTATACTTTTGTCCATATGGACCAATCAAAATGTTACAGTTGAATTGTTTAACTCTAAATTAAAAATGATATACCTATTTGGACGAATCAAGTGAATTGTAGGTACCGTACCCTATTTTTTAAATGGGTACCGGAGTTCTCACCAAAATGATGTAATTTATGTATTCATTTATACACTTAATGCTACGAAGAAAATCATGCCTAGGTTAAAGTCTTAAAGATGAACATGTAACGCAACTCAACAAGTTTATTGATCCAAATTGGACTAACATTATACTCCGTATGAAGTACGATACATCATCCACGATAGTATTTTTAGTATGTTAGCGTCGTGGTTCAAACATATTTCAGTCAAAAGCAAAAAAAAGTAGGTGCATGCTTTTATCAGCTGCCTTTTTTTCGTTTTAGTAAATAAATCCAACTTTTGGTTTATTCTAATCCTAAAAAGAGTTATTAGCCCCCCCAAAAAAAACTGTTGTCGCCTCAAAGCTATTGTCTCGTCCAAAATTAAACCTCCCTTCCGGCGAAGGTATAAAAAACTTCAAAGCCAAACTAATAAGGCTGGTTCATGACGTTCTTGTGTCCATTTTTCCTTTTCGATTTGTATACTAAGATTATCTCATACCAAATTTGGTAAAGTTTGTGTGATTCAATTCTAAATCATTTTTATTTTATTCTTACTTTATCAATTCAATATCAACCACATAAAATCACTTTTCTTAATTATCGTGTCATCTCCTCACCAATGACTGAATTAAATAAAAAGGTTATAATTAGAAATTCTCATGATAACAAGTGTGCAACCTTATTGTCTTCAATAGTTCAACCTTTAAGTTCCATTCTTGGATATATATTTATAATTTCTACTAGCTCTAAAGTTTGTTTTTGAATGTGTGTATACTCCGTATAATTTCAAATAGGAGTAAAACTATGGCAAAAATAAAAAACAGGACATCTTATGTTTATTCTAAAATAAGACTATATTACTCCTATTTGGAAACATACTTATTTTTTCATTCCATTCTTACCTCTCCTGTAACTGAGTTGTGCTAGGTGTAAGCAAAATGTGTACACTTTTTTTGTACACCCGTCTCATGTCTGTCTCCCGTAGACAAGTTTTTTAGACCACACATTTTTCCCTTTAAATATGAGTAAAAGGTAGTTAAAAGTCATAATTAATTGCACACTTCAGGATGAGCTTTTGTGGGCAGCAGCGTGGCTGTATAGTGCTACTGATGGGGATGAATATTATTTAAAGGACATCGAAAACTTAGTTGATTTGCTTGACGATCAAACCTTCAGCTGGGACAACAAGAATCCTGGGAATAAAGTTATCCTGTCCAAGGTAGGTATCATTAACTTCATTGTCTCTCATGCACGCCAATAATCCATCAGGGTCTTTAGATCTCCTTTTTAAAAATGTTTCCAAGTCTTCTAAGAATAAGAATCAAATCCTACGTATTAGAGGTCCCTATTCCTTAAGGAGGTCCCTATTCCTTAACTACCTTCATTAATATTTAACTATGTTCAAATCGACTATTATGATGGAATTATATTTATAAGTATTTACTCCTAATATTTACATTTCCAATTACCTGGAATTTTAAAAAATGTGAAAATAATAATTAGTTATTCATTCGATCTACGTAATTTCAATATGGAAACATTTACTTGTTAGAATATTCTTTTTTGCATCACATGTCACGGGTCATATTAATATCATATCTTCATACATAATCAATAAGTTACACAATTTTGATAATTTATATTAAAACTAATTTTTTAAGAAAAATTATCCAAACAGTATTTTGATTTTCTTGATCTACTGAAAGCCAAAATCAATTTCTATCGCCTTCTTCACTTTGTAAATAACCAAATCATCGTTCGCCGTACTCATATATCAATTGTGTTGGTTCATGACTAGAAATAATATCTAATACGGAGTACAATTTATACGTACAGATCTTCTTGGAGAGAGGCAAAAAAGATTTAAGGGTGTACACGGGACATGCCAACACCTACGTTTGCAATGTACTTAATGGCCCACACACACAAGGTTTGTGTGTAATCATTGAAAAAATTATATTTCGGTCTAGTGATGAAGAAAATTGTTTAGGTACACCCAAGGTACACCATATATAACTAGGGGTGGTTCGGTAGAGTGCAGTTTTGTAGACCCTCACTAAAGAGGGTAATGTTCACCCCCTTTGTTCTATGGTTATCATGTGGCATTACATCTCATTTTTTTCCTTAAAATGTTATAACTTTTTTATTTATAGTTTACTTTTTATAAAAAAAAATATCAGATTTTTTAGTTTTTTATGATCTTTCCAATGATATCAATTTTGTATATATAATAATTTAAAAAAAAACATTTATTTCTAAAATATCTATTTTAGTTGATTTTTTTTTTTAAATTTTTTATATTCAATATTAGTACCATATGAAAGATCGTAAAAAAAAGAAAAATTTTTATATTTTTTTTTTTTAAAATGGATTAAAAAAGAAAAAGATAAAACAATTGCCAAATTGTGAAATATTGCCTTGCCACATGGCAGGCAAATAGGGGTGGGAGTGAACATAACCCTCTCAAATGAGAGTGAACAAAATTGTTCTCGGTTCGGTACGGTATACCGAAGATTTTATCTCATACCTTTACCATACCATAAACTTTCAGCATGCAGAAATACATACTGTTACCATTCCTAAATTTCGGTATACCTTGTTTCGGTATACCAAAATTTCGGTACGGTAAGCTACAGTATTGGTAAATTATCATGATTTAATATCAAATTATTACTCCGTATATATCAAATGAAATATAGAAAATCAGTGTTAATAGTGATATACTAAAATTATTAATGAAATTAATTCTAAAATGCCAATGATAACCTATTTGTGTTCTATTCAACTTTGAGCAAAAAAAATATTATAAATATGTACGGATACTTCAACACATGATATATGAAGATAACAACACATTCTGCTAAAATAATAATTTAAACAACATAAATATATTTGAATTAATTAATGTTGTGTTTCTAGTTATTTTTATAATTTCAAAGAAATTATTGGCTTGGAATTACGGTATGACGGTTTAACGGTATACCGTTTATTTCCAAAATATATACCGATACCATACCGAAGTAATTCGGTACGGTATCATACCGCACCAAAAGTGTCGGTATACCAAAAACTTCGGTAAATTCGGTATTTTTCGATATGGTAAGTCCGGTATACCGAAATTTCGGTATTTTTCCCCACCCCTGTATATAACTCCCTCCACATTTTTCATTTTCTCCCTTCCCATTTTTTTCTCTTCCCTTCCTCCTCAGTCCTCACTCTTTTATCTCCCCTTCTCTCCCTTTTGCAATTTGCACCACACGAACCCCCTTCCCCCTCTCTTTCTTCTTCTTCATCATCATCTTGTTCTTTCTTCTTTCTTTCTTCCTTTCTCCTTTATCATCTTCTTCTTTTTCTTTCCTTCTCTCTTTTTCTTTCTTTTAACATTTTATTAGCTAAGTTTAGAAATGATTCCTTTGAATCATTGTTGTTCATCATCTTCATCTTCTTTTTCTTTCCTTCTCTCTTTTTACGTTTTATGAACACCGACACTGGTTTGCTTTTAGTGTCACTGTACACCAACGAATATTGTATATGTACATACACTTTTTTTTTCTACACAGACGACTAATGTCTGTGTACATTGACACTGGTTTCCCAACTCCCTGAACTTGCAAACCAATTTTGTTCACACCGACACTTTTTTGTCTACACAGACAACTAATGTCTGTGTCGGTGTATACCGACTTGGTTTTCGTGCAATCAACCTTGCAGATGTGACGGATCTACAACCCAGGGTGTACACCAAGAATTACACAGTCATGAAATTGTACACACTTATTGTTTGCAAAGTACACTTGTATACTCATTGCTTGCAAAGACTATTTTTTTTTTGTCGGACATAATGTGTTTTGTCATAGACATAACCTCATTTTTCATAATAACTGCATCACTTCTTCATGTCCCAATGTTAATGGGAGGGAGATAGTATTACGTGTGTGTGTATACATATACGAAAAAGACCATCTCAGGTGGGAAGCCCCATCCGAACTTGCCCATTTGAGGGCTTTCCTGGTGGATTGTATTGATAAAATATTTTGAGCGTGATCTTCATCAAGTCCAATTTACGCTCACCAAATTTAAGCTTAAAACTCAATCAGGAAGGCATATAATAAATTATTGAAAAACAGTGCGTTTTTCGTGTACATTTTGGCACAATAATTTTCAATAATCTATTTAAATGTCTTCCTAATTGAAGTTTAAACTGAAATTTGATACACACAAACTAGACTAGATGAAGAATATGTTGAAAAAATCTCATCAAAAAAATCCACCGATTGGACCCTCAATCAGACAAGTTCGGACGGGGCTTCCCTTCAAACAGACAAGTTCGGACGGGGCTTCCCTTCAATACTACCTGAACTAATAAATTGGCCGGTTTCCGTGCATATACATGGCAGGGGGGCTATATCTCCTGGGCGACTGGAATTTCCAATACCTGTCAGCATCATTTCTCCTAGTCACCTATGCAAAACAGCTTAAGTCGGCCGAACACCCTGCCATGCCTAGTTGTGTCCACACGGCGGATGACCTCATTGAATATGCGAGGAAACAGGTGGACTACGTTCTGGGGGATAACCCGAAAGGAATGTCCTACATGGTCGGGTTCGGGGATAACTATCCGAGACAATTACACCACAGGGGCTCTTCTCTTCCATCGGTATGGGCCGAGTCTGAGCCCATGTTCTGCAAAGGTGAAGCACTGACATCACATTATCCGAACGTGAACACTCATGTTGGAGCCATTGTGGGTGGTCCGAATAAGAATGATGAATTCGACGATGACAGGCAAAAGTATGAGCAATCTGAGCCAGCAACCTACATCAATGCCGCATTTGTTGGAATTGTTGCTTCCTTACTCGCTCAATAGGACTCCATCTTAATTACGTCGCACTATACATCTTCCACTTTTATCGAACTCTATTTCCATTTTATTACCTTATATATACATAAACATGGATTGATCTTTCGTACTAATTATATGCTTCATATATCTATAGCTAGAGACTGCATTTCCATATATACCTATACGTACGTGTGTCCAATTAGAGAATGGAGTTTCATGTGTGTCAAATTCCTAGCTACCTAAGAATTAGTACTTCGTATATACTGAGCAACAGTTGATTAGCATGTTTGCTAATTGATGCATACTCATTTGAATCTTTTGTTTTGCTCCTGTAGTCCTGTGTAATATCGTACTAATGGCATTAGTCTAATGCACAATCTTTTAAATATCATTATACTCATTTTAATACTCCTTCCTTCCCGAAAGAATGTCCTACTTTAACTTCACACATATGATAGTATTAAGGAAATAAGTTTGATCTCGCACTGTATGTAGCAACATTGTTTGACACTGTAGACTGTAGTGACACTGCTTTGCACCGTTTGACACTGTTCGGTATAAATTTGTTTACCAAATAGGAAGTATGAAAGTAAAAGAATCAGGACATTCATTTAGAGACTTCCATTTTGGTAAATCAGTCGGACATTTTTTTCGGAGACGGAGGGAGTATAACTTATTGATCTCGTATCTATAAATTATACGGAGTATGACGTATATACTCCGTATCCATTACACACCAACTAATACATTCGTGTACTTTTTAGAGTATATACATATAGTCATCCGAAATCTTTGTTGTGATATTTTTAATAGTTATGTCAATGCTAGTTTCTGCAAAACGTCATAATCTTATAATTATACCATAAAACTTATTTCTACACTTCCAGTTGCGCAACAGAATAAAATGCCCAATAATTCTTTTTAAAAATATGTACATCAGATGTTGATATGATATGATTACTTTTATCATTTAACGCTTGACTTTTATATTCACTTAAAAATGGAGTATTTAATATTTCCTCATCATGAAAGAGGACTCAAAAATAAAATAAGAAATGCAAATGCACATATGGGCTAGACCCTATTTACCTAATTTCATAAGGAAAAGTATCATTAATAGTGTGATAAATATCTAGTACATATCTTATATCTATAAAAGTCCTTCACATGATAATATACGAGAATGAGAGGTTCAATAAAAATAATACATATTTTGAAAATAACTTTTAATAATACCAACTGTTTGAATATATAACAGAAGTGACATATACCAACTCTTAACTAAAAATTCAATCATTTAATTCACCAAAAAGCAGTGTCAAAATATTAAATAAGTGACCATATTGCTAATTGTCATTTATTTGATCGTTTGATCTAAGTTTTTGATGTTTTAAATGATTGAATTTCTTTTCTAAAAGTGGCTTCATATTATTTTTGATGTTTAATCAAATAGTTGATATTATTATTAGTTCATGCAAGATAGTTGATATCAGAAAACACGTGTGCTTAGGAACAAAATTAATCCGGACATACTAAGATGAGAAGCAGTTATTTTCTAACAAAAAATTACAATTTTGAGATAAAACTTTTATAGACCTATGAAAATGTGGTGGAAAAGGGTAGAAAGTAAGAAGTATACCCTTCTCCTACGCGCTTTACCTCTAGAATATATTACACACAAAACTTGTAGCTCAAGACCTGAAGAGTCCCTTCGATAACAATGAAATTGATTGAATCGAATGATTTTGTTAAATTTTATCAAATTCTGGACAAATTGTCTAAATGTGCCGAATTATAAAAGCATATACTTTACGAAAAATAGTTATAATAGACTTTTTCTTCAAATTCAAATGAAAAGTAACATCAATTTTACTTTTTTTTAATAGCCGATTTTGCGTGTGACATAATAAACTACATGTTTCATAAGAAGTTACCGGAGAATTTGATTAGTTTGATAAGTCAAAATAGAGCCTAAGAAACAAGCTCAAAATATTTACATTACTAATATAAAATAAACTTTTAACAATTTTAGTAATGATTGTTTAATACTCAAAATAGTTTCATATTTCACTGTCATCGCACTAAGATAGTCTTATACAAATTTGGTAATGCTTGTATAGTTCAAAATCATTCTTACTTTATTGATTCAATATCAATCACGTAAATTCACTTTTGTTGGTAACCACACCACTTCCTCTTATACTAATGTTAGGGGATCAGAATGGAGGTAGTAGCAAATGAGGTAGATATGTAGATTTTCCTAATTAGGTCACTCATCTTCCTCAAAATTATTTAAGAGCCACTTGGTAACTCGTACTCGTTATACAGCTTATCAGCCTTATCAGTCAATAATTTTACCAAACACGTAAGTTTTAATTTCTCACACAGAATATTTTTACCATAGATGATAAGTTTACTCATTTTCTTTATAATTTTTTTAGTCTATTAATAAATTATTTTTTAAATATAATCTTTCTATAATTCAATATATTTGGACAATCCAGCTACTTTAGCAAGCATTTCTTCAATTTCAATATCTCTATTGAGCAAATTTGAATGCTACTAAATGGACTATATGTTAATAAAAAAAAGTAGTGTTGACTATTGAGCTATTTCTATTACTTGTTTGAGAAAGAATAAAGACATACATCCGTAATTCCATACTCATAAATAACATATCTAAAATATTATAATAGTGAATGAAGGTATGACTATTTTAGATATGAAAAATGTGTTGGTGTAATCACAAGCTAATGTGAACTTGTACTTTGAGAAAAAATCATTGTACCTTAATTTGTGCAACATCTTTAATACCTAATGAATCCTACATTCCGTTAGTTAACTGCTTTCAATACTAGAGCTTCCGTCAAATACCCAACCTTTTTTCCTTGATCCAATCTTTCCTTTTTTTTTTTGCTTAGCGTACAAATACGCTCCCGTATTTGTACGCTAAGCAAAAAAAAAAGGAAAGATTGGATCAAGGAAAAAAGGTTGGGTATTTGACGGAAGCTCTAGTATTGAAAGCAGTTAACTAACGGAATGTAGGATTCATTAGGTATTAAAGATGTTGCACAAATTAAGGTACAATGATTTTTTCTCAAAGTACAAGTTCACATTAGCTTGTGATTACACCAACACATTTTTCATATCTAAAATAGTCATACCTTCATTCACTATTATAATATTTTAGATATAATCATCAAAACCCAACTCAATATAATTTCATGAACTTACTGAGTTATAATCAGCATAATTAGACTACAGAATGAATATGTCAATCGTATTTACAAAACAAATTTCATCATGAAAAGAATGAACATTCACTTTTGATTTTGTGAAATAGTCACTCAACGAACGTTTAAAAAAGATGCAATGTTATTAGTTAAAGATGGACTAAAATGTCTTTAATCACAATGTTTTTAATGTAAAAGTTTTCGTTCTGCGTTAGACCGTCCTAGGGGAAACGGGATAAGGGTCAGTTTAGTCCTCGAAGTTGCAAAAAAAGAGTCAAATAAGTCCTTATATAGAAGATTTTGTCCGAAAGTGTCATTTGAGGTGGCTCCCGGTGGAATTTTTTGATGAATTTTTTTGAGCATCTTATTCATTAAGTCTAGTTTACTCATATCAAATTTCAGATAAAAATTCAACCGGGAAGACATTGAAATGAATTCTTGAAGATAATTGTGCCGTTAAAAGAATAGTTATCTACAAGAATTCATTTGAATGTCTTCCCGATTGAATGTTTAGCTGAAATTTGATATGAGTAAACTAGACTTAATGAATAAAATGCTCAAAAAAAATTATCAAAAAATTCCACCGGGAGCCACCTCAAATGGCACGTCCGGACATAATCTTCTATATAAGGACTTATTTGACACCGTTTTTACAAGTTCAAGTATCAAACTGACCCTTTACTCTAGGGGAAACCCTAGCGGCCATCTCGCACCTCCTGCGAGATCTGATCTTCGAGCCTTAGCTTCTGTTCTTCAATTTCTTAGTTTTTATATAAATCTCATGTGTACAATTTTATTTTCCGTAATACGTACCAAATCCAAATGAATGTGGTAATATTGGGGCATTGGGCAGAATTGCAATTCCCAAGCATTTGAAGATGGAAAAAAGCAATTTTGTGAGGAAAAGTATTGTGCATACTGCATAGTCTAGCTATTGAAGTACAATGCTATAACAAGCTAGTGTGCGTAAGATTCTACCTTCTCCAATGATATGTATTTGCTACTCTAAATATAAAAATAAATACAAATAAAAGATACGGCTTCACCGGCCACCAAAAAGGGAGAATTGAGTTGACTAGTAAACAACAAAGAAAACCCTACCGAACAAATGGTCTTAATTATCGGTTTGACCAGTCATCAAAAAGGTGATCCAGTTGAGCGCTTTATTTCTTTTTCCCACAATGAGGCGGTGGTTGAAGTAGAGGGAGAGTAATTGAAGCCTTAGAACACAATGTTGAAAAAGCTTTGCCAACCATGAATAATGAAACTCACCAAATTGATTACACCAATGAGAAACCCAAAAATTCTCTAGACATCGCTTGGAGAATAACATACCACACACTCACATGAAGCGGACAAAACCCTTGACCAAAGAAAACGTTGAACTAAAACCCTCGAAAGTTGAAATTAAAAAAGAGAGGAAACATAGAAAAATCTTTGATTCGATACTTCACTACCTAGAAAAAAACAATTTGAGTTTACACGCTGAACTAAACTCAAATATGTCTCACATATACGTACAACAAGACTGTTCAAAATCTCATCCCATTGCAGCATTATGATATTCATTCACTTGTTTCTTTGCTATCATTTAATGAATATACGGAGTAATAGCTACTCCCTCCGTCCCATAATTATCTTCATTCTTTCCTTTTTGATCCGTCCCGAATTTATCTCCTCTTTCCTTTTTTTAGCAAAGGATTTGTGGTTAACAACCATTCTTACACATTTCTCTCTCCTCTGCACAACTCTCCACCACACATTTCCCATTTTCTTAATCTCCGTGCCCAGTCAAAACCGAAGTTAATTCTGGGACGGAGGGAGTATTTGATTTGCATACGAAAAAAAAAGAAGTTAAAGAAAAAGTATATA